AGCCACCGGGTCCTGGACTTGAACCATGGTTGACCATGTAGGAGTCCAGTGCCCTTAACCACCATGGCGCCTGCCGGCCCTACTCATGTTTTTAAAACATGATCAAGTTACTGGTTCTTATTTTTTCCCTTACCATCTTTCTTTCCCTTTTTCTCTTTTTCTTTCTTTTTTCTTGACAGGATCTCGCTATGCTGCCCACTCTGGCCTCAAACTCAAGATCTTCCTGCTTCACCCTCCTAAGCACCTGGTATTACAGGAGCATGTCACCAGGTCTGGTTTATTATTATTACTATTATTATTATTATTTTAATCAAAATTTGGTGTTAAAACCTAGTTTTAAGCTGAGTCCATCACCTACTAACTAGTGCCTATATCTAAGTTTATTAAACTTGCTGATCACAAGTTCTTCATCTCCAAAATAGAGATAAATAAGGTTTTTTTTCTCTGTATTTCAGAGACAATGGCATGAAATTATATAGTTTGAAAAATGTAAAAGTTGTAAAATGGGTATGGAATTAATAGCATTGAGATCTGTAAGCTGTCACCAAAAACACAAAACCATACAAACCAACGAAAACAATACCATCCATTGGGCAGTTCGTTTCATGTTCACAGTGAAAGGGTAGATTTCAATCTTCTTGGCCAGGCTTCAGTAGTTGAGGGGACACACACATTAATTGAACAGAAAGTTCTATTTCTAGACTACTGGGTACAAGATTATTCTAGAACTGTCATCAATTTTTCTTAAGAAGTTAAGATTACAAATGGCAAGATTGAACTTAAGTAAAAATACATACCTTTTTCTCTTTTCAGACCTGCATTATTTGGAAACCATGACCTGGATGTCCCAAAGATTGCAGCCACACAAAATTCTCCGCCCATCGATTTGCTGGGTGAAATTTGAGGAGGTGGTTTAACTTTGCTTAAAAAATAAAATGACAGTAAAAAACAAACAAAAATTACCATGATGAAAAAATGACAGTACTCTGTAAAATGAGATCTTTTTATATAAATTTCACCCTTTAGTATTTAAATCTTCCACTTTAGACATGCATTGTGCCTTAATTATTAACTGTATGTATATGAGAGTATGTTCTGGAATAAAAGTAAAATTAGTTTTGAGTTGCAGAGACTTATCCAGAGAGAAACTAGAAGATCAATAAAAAAGTAACTCCTTTTTTTTTTTTTTTTCATTAGGGCACATATGCTGGCCGAAGAGAGACAGAGAGGGAAAATGAGAAATCACCTCCCATTGGGGGGTGGCCACTCCACAATCCCTTCTCCTCCATTCTCCTGTTGGGATTTTGGACAAACACACATGTGCCCAAGCTGTTGGGTCCAGCACTTGAACTGCAAAGCCAGCCTTTTAACCACCATACCACCTGCTGGCCCCAGGAAAACAAAACAGAACAAAAACAAAACAAAACAAAAAACAAACAAAAACAACTAACTCCACTTTGAAATATGTGTTGGCAAAATCCAAGTCACTTTTTGTCAGATAAATATTTCCCTGGAGATTTCAATGTGAAACAATAGTATCAGCATAAACATTTCACAATAATAAAATAATTTATCATTTCATTTTACTATATAAGATGTGTGATTAAGAATACAAGTAAATGGAGACAGCATATGAAAATGAGATGATATCAAAAAAAATCTGAAAAGTGCTCTCAGCCACAATACTATGTGTGTAGACAATATACAGGGAGGAGATCTAATAATCTATTGCAATTATATTCCACCTGTTGTTTCTTTTTAGCCTTGGATTTTTAGAAAACCAGTTTATTCAGGGAAAAGAGCTTAATATCCATTTACCTCTCAAGCACAAATCTTCTGTTTCTTACAAGTTCAAGGACATATTTATTAACTGTTATTTCATTTAACTACCATTAGTTATATGGTATTGTTTCTTTTCTTTTTCTTTTCTACAAATAAGCTTTCATGCCCTCAATTTCAAATATCAACTTTTCATTCTCTTTCATATCCTATATTTCTGTCCTCATTTTAAAAAAGAAAACATTTTAATATGTTAGCAGGTGAGAATGCTCACCTGAGAGAGACAAAGAAAGAGAAGGAGAGGCAGAGAGCACCCCCCCACCACCACCACCATGGGGCATGGTCATGCAGCAATCTCTTCTTCATTTCTTCATCCTGTCGAGATCTGGAGCATGCACCCACATGCACCTGGCACCTTTTTTAAGCCACCAGAGTCAGGATTTGAACTGTACCATCAGCAGTGTAGCACCTGGGTCCCTTAACCACTAGGTGACTGGGCTAGCCACACTGTGTTTGCTTTTGATGTATCAAGGGCTTCCAGGAAGCTCAAGAGCAATTTTACCAACCATGTTAGGTAAATTATTTTCTCACACTTATAGACCAGAAAAGAGCCTCAATGTATACTGGGCAAGATCACAGACCAGGTGGGATACAATGACTACCAGAGCTCTCATGTCAAACTTATGTGTACCAACTTTTGCTCACTTTTCTTTATTTATTTTTTTTAATGAAGTAGGTGGGATAGGGATCAGCAAATGGAGTAATGGTAATGTCGCTGGAATCCCACATAGTCAACCACGGTCTGAACCACAGATTAGGTGGCTCGAAACTCACACCAGGCATGTGTGCGTGTGTGCCCAAAATCCTAGGAGGTGAATGGAGGGGAAGAGACTGCAGCATGGTCATCCCCACTGGAGGGGTGATTTCTCGCTTCCTGTCTCTCTGTCTCTCTGGATCTCTCCAGCGATCACATATGCTCTATAGCAACAATCTCTCTTTCTGGAAAAAAAAAAAAGTAGGTAGGATGAAAAGAGACTGTGGTCTCTAGAGCCAGAAAGAAACCTGAGTCTGAAGGCCAATGTTGTCACTTATCAGCTGGTGACTAGTTATTAAACTCTCAGAGCTCAGACTACTTCTATATAAAATATAAATAGTAATGATTACCACATAAGGTTATTTTAAGAATTACATTATTTGATCTCAAAGTGTGGCCCCTGGCTAGGAGTACCACCTAGGAACATCCCAGGCATACAGACTAATACTAATCAGGCCCTATCCCAGACCTACTGAGTCAAAAACTCTGGGGATGGGGTCCAACAATCTGTGTTTTGTTTTGAACAAATCCTATAGGGGTTTCTGATGTATGCACAGTGGGAGAACCACTTATTAGATAAATCAAGTAAAGTTCCCAGAGCAGTGCTTCCCCGTATCACAGTCCTTAACAAATATTAATTCTCTTACACAGACCGTGGCCATTACCTAATTTCTTTTGCCTTTTTTTGTTGTTGTTGTTTTTTAATGAGAGAGCATGCGTGATAAATCAAGTAAAGTTCCCAGAGCAGTGCTTCCCCGTATCACAGTCCTTAACAAATATTAATTCTCTTACACAGACCGTGGCCATTACCTAATTTCTTTTGCCTTTTTTTTTGTTGTTGTTTTTTAATGAGAGAGCATGCGTGCATACATGCAAATGAGGGAGAAAGAAAAGAAGAGAGAAGGAGAGAGAAGCACCCTCAACAAGGCCTTCTCATGCCAAAACCTCCCTTCCCCAGCCCTTGAGCTCCTCAGGATGCCCACGCATGCGCACACTCATACTCAGCATGTTTTCACACTGATCCACGCTTCCAACCCCACATTGGCCATTTGGCTTCCAGCCCTGTAAGGCACTGCACGACCACTATGCCACAGTGACTGGGCCTCTAACCTCATTTTTTAAAAAGTCATATTTTGGTAATGTCAGTTTCCCAGTTCCTATGACACTTGAAATAGTCTCCTCTCAAATATATTATTTTCTACGATTTTTATTTTGGCATCTGTCCTTCAAGGAAGGCAAAAAATCTGGATCAGAGGCAGCTAGGATTGGTCCCTTCAGTCTCTGCCTTTGAACCAAATCCATGTTGATGCGCATGCTCTGTAAGGAAAAGCTGCTTCTATCCATCACTAACATTTCCCAAACACTTCGCATCGCTCCCCAAATAAATCAAAGTCATGCCTCAAATATCAACACCAGTCACAGTCAGCCGTCCAGTGACAGGGAATAAAGATACCTTTTTTTAATTTTCTTTGAGGAAAAGAATCTAGTTCTGCAGTTCCCACCCCTTTTATTTATTTATTTATTTTGGAGAGGTTTATGCTATAGGGCGTGTGCGCTTGCCAGACAGACAGACAGAGAGAGACAGATAGAAAGTGAGAAATCACCCCCCGGGGGGGGATGGCCACGCCGCAATCCCTTCTCCTCTGTTCTCCTCTCGGGATCTTGGGCACGCATGCACATGCGCCCGGCGTGAGTTTTAAGCCACCAGGTCCAGGACTTGAACCGTGGTCGACTACGTGGGAGTCCAGCAACATAGCCATCATGCTAAATGCTGGTCCCTCCTGCAGTTCCACTTCTTCATAGCTGCATGTGCCACAACTCAAAAGAGAAGGCTCCAGAAAGGAAAGTTTCATTCTACCATAGACTTGACCACTTTCATATCTAGGTCCCTGGCATAAGGACTGTTCTTTCACGTTATGGTGCAGTCTGTTGCATTACTTAAAATATAAGTTTTCCTTCAAATTTTTTATTTCCACCATTAAAGTACTATCACTGAGCTGACAACTCCTGTTTCTGGCTTCTTTAAAGTAGTATTGGTCATTTTTAACCTTTTAAGGGCTTTGGAAGGCCAGGCAAAGAGGAGAGATAAAACTATTCTAATTTTTTTTTAAATTGCTACAGAGTACTTGGACTCGCCAGAGAGAGAGAGAGAGAGAGAAAGCACTCCCCAATGGTGCATGGTCACGCCATAGTTGCTCCTCTTCCATGTCTCCATCCTGTCAGCATCTGGGTCACACACATGCACACATACCCAGCACATTTCCCAAGTTGCCCATGCCAGGATTTAAGCTCTGGTTGGCCATTTGGGATCTGGCTTCCTTAACCAGTAGGTTGTGGGACTGACCCTAGAATTTTTTTAAAGTTATTTGCGATCATGTGGCTATGTGCTTTTACTAGAACCACCATACTGGAACAGTGATATTATGATGCACAAAAAAAAAAAAACTTTAAGGATTTTTCTAAATGACTAGATAATATTTCCATGATTGTTGCTGTTTTTAAATCATGTAAGTAATGAGTAAACCACTTCTTAAGAAAAAAATATGGCTCCTCTACATACATCCTAAGCATATGTAAAAATAGTTGCTACTGAACCAAATGGCCACCTTTATAACAAGATATTGATTAGAAAAATGACAGAACATTAATTTAGACTTCAACAAGATATTGATTAGAAAAATGACAGAACATCAATGAAGACTTCGAACACACAAAAATATATTCTATATGTTTATTAGCTTAAAATCTAATCAACCCCTGTTGCAAGTTAGTATTTTTTTGTATTTCTCTAAGTTACATAATACAGGTTTGGAACACATAAGTAAAAAGCACCACATAATGTAATTTTACATTATATCCTATAGAAAATAAATATTTTAGGTTAAAAGTAAGTTTAATTTTTGTCAAGCATTATTATTATTATTATTTTGGAGAGGTTTTTGCTATATGGTGCATGTGCTCACCAGAAAGACAGAGAGAGACAGAGAGACAAAAAGCGAGAAATCACTCCCCAGAGAGAATGGCCACACCACAATCCCTTCTCCTACATTCTCCTCTCAGGATCTTGGGCACGCACGCACACATGCCTGGCGTGAGTTTAAGCCACCAGGTCCAGGACTTGAACCACAGTTGACTACATGGGAGTTCAGCAACATAGACATTATGCCAACTGGTGGTTCCAAGCATTATTATTTTTATGCTTATATTTGATTAATTCTAATTATTTTTCTGATAGGACTTTAATAAATTCCATTAGTAAAGGTTTCGGTTTAATGAGGAACCAAAATAGTTTTGATCTCTGAGAATAACTTGCTACTACATGACATAGT